TCCGCGATACAACGGTTGAATACAGTTAGGATCGCATCAGCCGCGGATTTACATGCTTCTATTATCATTTTATTTGAGACTTTGTCTTCACCAGATGATTTATTTAAAGGCAAAGTTTTAACAATAGTTACGAGCTCGTTGATGGACGGTAGATCAGACACTGGTGATTCAGGCGGTATAGCTGCCCACGACCTAATCTGTTGATGGTAATCATTGTCAGTCTCGAATACATCATCAGGGACAAGCTCATCGAGTAGAACTTCCGTTGTCTCCTCAATACCGGTGGTGTGAACATTGTTGACTTTTATGTTCTGTACGAATGCCAGATCAACGGATCTATTAGCTTTGAACTCATGGTATAGAGGCGACCACGGGCCCTCCTTATCTAATTTTTGTACAACCCTCCGCAGCAAATCACCCTTGGCTTTCTCCACCGAAGCTCTATAGCGTGACCTGGCAACTCTAAACGCAATCAGTGCTTCATCAAAAACGGTACCGGTTACCCTACGTTTCTTTAGTCTATTTAACTGTTTGCGCGCTTTACGAAAGCATTTACGTTGTTCGACTAGATAGTTATTCCACCAGTCGCATCTACGCGTACTTGTCAAGGACCCGCGACCAAAAGCGATGTCGGCACAGTAAGTAAAGGCATCTGACATGATTTCAGCACCCTCCTCGGCCGAGAGATCTCTGCGAGTGAAATCTTTGGCTTGAGATGCAAATAATGAACTAAAAAAGTTCCAATCCGCGCCCTTAGTCTTGTACCTAAAGCTATCATTGCAATATGTTGGACCCTGGGGTAATGTTGAAACAAACTCGTACACGATCAGGCGATGATCACTACACGACGCATCTGGTAGGACGCGCCACCTATCCAAGCTAACGTCTGCACTAGAAAGTGTGACGTCAATACAAGATTCGCCCATTTGGCTGCAAAAAGTAGGTGGTGCATCAGGGGTATTATGAATGGAGAGATTCATTTCGGCAATGAATTCTTCAACAGCACAGCGCCGTTCCATGTCAGTAGCCCTGACCTTGCCATACCACAAGGATGAAGACGCGTTAGCGTCAGCACCAATGATAATTTTGGAGCCCGCAAGTGATTGTAATACGTGACGGAGGTGATGAATATGAGGAGTAACTGAGTCAGAATATTGAAAGTAACAGCTCACAACGTACAATTTACAATTTCCCGAAGCAATCTCCGCGACGGCACAGTCTATAAGTTATATAACTTTCAATTCGAACTTTTAGAAGTCACACCAATCGCGTTCCGCTATTTTATTGGTTGTAAGAATAATCTCGACCAATGACGGGCGAGAATGCGATCATTTTTGACATGTGTCATGTTTTGCCACACACCTGTAGTTATTGATCATTTCAAGGTTAATTATTTCACAAGTTTTTTTCAGCTGGGAACTGTTGGTTAAATAAATTTTGTACATACATCAATTAACCCCACGAAATGTCCTACTATCATAGGTAACAAGTCTAGGTAGTCCTCGAATCCCCCGCAACCTAGTAGGTATAGGTCTTGTAAGTACAGGTCAGAATTAAAATGGATGCCCATCGACTATAGAAGTCCTCTTCGTGTATTGACAAGGATTTGGAGGACTTGGAGAATTAAGGAGAAAGAAAACGTTCTTTCTCCTTAATTCTCCAAGTCCTCCTTCCTATCTGTCTACTCATTTTCAATACCTGTGACCTGGGTGCTTACTCTTGAAACCAATCTCAATGTCAATGCAATTTCAATCCAATAAAATCTCAATAATTATCCAATGTCAAAACTATACAACCCCTATCGTAGCTGTTAAAGTAGCATTCAGAGTACGGAATATAAAGCCAAACTCAATACCATTTAGTTCATTAAATATCCACGCAATACGGATGCAATGGGCGCTAGTGCAACTCAAGAGTACGAAATTTACAATATCAATGTCGATCGATCGGAATTGGATTCAAGAGTAAGCCCCTGGTCATTCCATAAGTTTCCTATCTTCTCATGATCTACTTCGTTGTTACCTTCATACTATCCACTCTTCTTGTCAAATCCGGTCCATCCTTATGTAGAATGACTTGAAATCAGGAAGGCGACCATATCTACGCAAACTTATCATCATAGCTTATTTTATGTAGTTTATTAATATTTATGTATGTTTAACTAAATATATTATTCTCTATGGATTATGTAATTTATTTATAATTATAATTCCCTTACATCATAAATATATTTATTATACCTATTATATGTAATATAAACGTATGTCTTAAACACTAAATATCTGTCTATAAATTGCTTATACATATTTATTGATACAATGTTCAGTATTATGTAGACTCCTCTTCTGGTTGTCCATATTATCTCTACATTAACTAAAGGTTGGGAGAATGCCTAAAGGTCTATTTTTGAATCAACAGTTCATTCTTTTTTTCTGTTCTTTGGCAACTGAGTCTTCAACACGGTGAGATAATTCTTAACTGTAGGAAAAAATTGACAATCGACAGTTTTTAATATGGAACAATAGTCAAATATTCAAAATTAATTTACATAAAGTAGGAAAAATCGGTCCAAAGCGTTAATTGTCCATCTCTGTACATTTTTTTAGTAGGTACGGTACATAAAGTATTTCTAAATAAGCACAATAAACATCTCGAATGGGTATAATTATGTACTTACCTAAATGAATAATAGTTGTTTGTGCCCAAAGTTGACCTTATTCTGTAATTTTATATGTGAAATGTAATTCGGTAAACAAATGATGTCACCAAGCATACCTATGCTTGGTTATGTATACCGATACATAATAATGTCGTACATATAAAGGCCTTATTAGACCACTCAATTTCGAGGGACCCTAACCCTAACTAAGAGGGGTGTAATAAGACTTAGGGAGTTAGTGTCCCGTTGTTGTCCGTGTTCTTTCTTTTTTTAATATTCGTCCTTGCGAGCACGGCTGTCACTGCTACAGTAACTTTTTGAACATTCGATACTGAAAACGGCATAATGTAAAATGTGACAATACGTATATCTCTCTAGACATTCGCGTATAAACTGAGTTAGGGCCCAATTCGCAGAAAAGTGTAATAAGCGCCGCACTAACTAGGGTACACGCCCACCCTGGATGTAGGGCTCTTCATATCGGGTTGTGTAATAAGCGCTTAATACTTTTAGTGATGTACAAAATACCCAATACAAAGTATCTAGAATACAAAATGCAAGATACTTTTAAATTAAGTATTTCAGATAGGTACCAGATACAAAATACTACCTCTATTCACATTAGTATCCGAAATACTAGATGCAAGATAAAAAGCCCAGGCTTGGCGTAGGTAAATGAAACTTATCTCAGATTCAAGTCATCAACAGTCAAGTCTCGCAATTAGATTCATTTATTGTATTTCTTTTTTGTAGATTAGACCGGCAATCGATCTAGTGAATCACCTGATAGGTTATTTTGTAACTGTCATTTGAAACTTTCAAAGTGAGTTCGATCGCATTCTCGGCCGTCATTGGTCGAGACTATTCTCACAACCAACATGGCGGGCCGCGATCTAGTTCACTACGACTTTTGGAAATTTAAACTTACTAATTAACCAGTAACGAGATGTAATGTAATAATATTATTGTTATGTTAAAATATACTTACTTACTACTTAGTTATGGTTAATTTTGTGGTTACACATATATTTATTCCTTGCTCGTCAGGACTGAGTCATTACCAAGTAGGTACAGTATACCTACGAGGTAAAGAGATATATAATATATAAGGACAAGAGGATATTTATCTTCATTCTGAAGTGAACATTGGTCTGGATACAAACAGGAGTCCGTCCAGTGGAAATAATATTGAAATATAAAGTTGTGCTTTCACTAAATTGTTTGGAAAATGGGTGAGTACTCATTTAACTTGCATTTGTATTGAATTTATAATGGGAAAGTGAAGTGTGCTTCGCCACATTTGTAGACGAACAAGAACCGTTGGTGTAGACGTGTTCTGGAGTGGAGACCGCGTCTAGGCAAATGTAGTGTAGGGCGCCCTCCAGCTAGGGGGAGTTACGATATCCGCACGCACGACATGACGCTTCGCCACAGATAATAAACAGTAACTAATTCTGTTTTTAGATTAAATTTTAAGTCCTCAGCTATTAAAATTTTTAACAGAAATATGTCTGCTTATCAGTCAGTCTGTTGTTGAAGTTATTTGTTTTTTTCCCTGTGCGAAAATTTATTTATTTATTTCCTAACAGTCTATAATATGTTTAGACTTGACTTGTAGTGAGATAGTGGTCAAACGTTTACACAACATATATGTGTAGGTACCTATGACAAAAGCTGAAGAGTTTGTCTGTGTGTTTGAACGCGCTAATCTCAGGAACGACTGCTCCGATTTGAATAATTATTTTTGAGTTGGATAGCCCATTTATCAAGAAAGACTATAAGCTATAAAACATCATGCTAAGACCAATAGCCGCTAAGCAGAACAAAGAGTAATTACCTACTAAATGTCATAAAGAAAACAATTTTTCTTTTTTTAATTGCAGGTCCTCTAAAGGTCGTCATCTTCATCGCAGTTACTTTACTATTATCAGGTACGCCATTAAGAATTTCCATTGACGTACGAATTTTCTTCCCTGAGTCATAGCCTAGGTAATGTGATGTAGTTATGAGAATTTCAATATGTAGATTTACCAGATGCTACTTGCGTAAAAGGAAATTACAGTATTATAGGTACCTTCTTATCTAGCTATTGTAAATGTACCTATATATGTGCCTAGAATCTGAACTGATTCTCTGTGTGTCTTATACTTTCGCCCACGTCTACATGCGTTTCGTAACTCTATTTTTATGGAGTAGACTTTGCATTGTTCTTACATATGCGTACAGTATTGAAATATGTATCAGAGACATTGTAGAACATACTTTATTTAAAAGAGTAACGAATGGAGTTTCTTGCTCGTTCTTCTCCATTCGAATCTACGTTTTGGAATGAGCACCTAGCTTCACCTAATTTCACTGACGGACTGACTGACAGATTATTATTAATTTTGTATTTGATGACGTTTCAAAAGTACCAAACTATGGTTTAATTGAAATAAATGCTTTGACTTTGTCTTTGAAAATAGTAGGCTGACAAACTATCACTTAATGGTAAGCAATCAGCGCTGCCAGTGGACATCTGCCACACCAAGAATTACAAATGCATAGTCGGGGTCCTTTTTTTTAGCTCCTCTATTAATATCTTCTGATTTATTTTGTTGCGAGATCCAAGACAGTTATTCATGTCCCTGAGACGCGCCGGACTTCAGTGTTCCGGTGTTTTCATGGTTGTATCTACTGTAGATCCTGACTTACAGGAGTTGCAGCGATATCGGGAGGTTGTAGCGGGCTTGTCCCAAAAAAAAGTCGGCCTTTAGGCCTCTAGTGACATATGCACGGCGAAATACAGCGCAGCCGTAATCAAGTGTTATTTCCCAGTGTAGCTTATGATAATCTAGCTACATACATCTTGTGTTTTGTATATTCAAAGTCACAAAGCATTTATTTCAATAAATCCTGCTTTAGGCACTTTTGAAACGTCAAAATTAAACTGCCAATCAGTCGAGTCTGTCCAAAGAGTATATATATAAGTATAGGGGATAGTCTGTCTATCAATGAAGCTAGGCGCTCGTACCAAAGTGTAGTTTCGATCTTTTTAAAAAAATGCTTTTTATAATCATTATTAAATTACTCTGTGACAAAAAATATCCCTTAAAATTTTGCAGCTGTAACGGCCTTCGGTAGTTGTCCACCAAAGAACAAGGTGACAAATGCTAAGCCAGTGTGTCACTCGGACGCGGACTGCCAGAAGTGGGGCCAGGTCTGCTGCCCCAACCAGTTCAATACCAAGTCCTGCACGCACCGCGCGCCTTGGAGGAGGTACACCCTTGATTCTGCTTAAGAACCTAAATCAATACGTACTCTGCTAAACAACCTGACTTAATACGTATATGTACCTACAAATGTAGGGACTTACAATATCATAAATTGGCCTTAGCATAAATTGGCATCATTTGCCATACCACTCCTTCCCCTCCCCAATCTCCTCAATACCCAAATCAATTGTGGGAGAGCCATGCTTCGGCACGAATGGGTCGGCTTAACCGGAGTGATACCACGGCCTCACAGAAAACCGACGTGAAACAACGCTTGCGTTGTGTTTCATCGTGTGAGTGAGGCTACCGGAGGCCCAATTACCCCCTCTCCCAAGTCTCCCCAATCCTCAAATTCCCAATTCCCAAAAGGTCGGTATCGCACTTGTAACGCCTCTGGTGTTTCGGGTGTCCATGACGACGCCGATTGCTAACCATCAGGTGATTCGTCTGTTCGTTTACCGGTTTATCCCATAAAAAAAATCACCAACAATCTTCAAATTCCTAATCCCTAAAGGCCGGCAATATACTTGTAACGCTTTTGGTGTTTCGGGTGTCCATGGTCGGCGCCGATTGCTGACCATCAGTAGAGGATTTTCACGGGCCATTGTGATGATGATTGCAAATTCTTTCAAAGGTCTGATCTTATTAATATAGCTAATGTTTTACAATTTTTAGGTAAGGTGCTGGCTGCTCAGGAGGGCTGTGTAGGAATTTTGTGGAAAAACTCGACCAGCAAAATGGACTCGAAGACCAAAAAACTGACCTTCTTATAACGCTTGTTTATAAACTAGAAACTTTAAAGCATTAACATAATTTAAGCTTGTAATACATACCTCAAGATTAAACATAAGAAAAAATGTGTTAGTATCTGTATTTTTTCCTTATTAAAACGTATTTTATATAACTATTGCAATGGGTGTTTTTTACTGTTTTCCATTTGTTTTTTTTTAAACGTTGCCCCACATTAGGATTTTCTCCTGTGTCGTGGGTGCGTTTACAAACATACAAGTTCACAAACACTGACACCCACACCCGGAACAACAATTTGTGGATCACACAAAGTGTTGTTCCGTGCGGGAATCGAACCCGCGACACGTTGTACGGCAGCCGGTTGCCCAGCCACTGCACCAACCGTGCAGTCTTCCATGTTTTCCACGGTTTTCAGATTCGCTTACTGCACAATATTTCCAACACATTTTGAACTTCGATTTCTCTACATATAACTAAACTAAACAAACAGTTTTTAAGATAATTTTAATCCATCGTCCATCTGGATTCATTGGGATTCCTTTGTTCAGTAGGTAGTGGACGTAGATTTTAACCATCAACAGTTAAGTACCCCTTATGAAAATAATAAACATAGCATAACATCACGCTTTTTAACCCGAAGGGATAGGCAGAGGTGCACATTACGGCACTTAATGCCACTGTACAATGTAACACCCACTTTTCACTATTTATGTTATGAGCCCCATGTTATAGTGGGTGAGCCTATTGCCATATACCGGGCATAGTTCCAGACTCCGTGCTACTACTGAGATTTTTAAAAACCCAGTAATATTTTGCCCGCCCCGGGAATCGAACCTGAAACCCCTTGCCTGGCAGTCGCACTTGTGACCACTCGGCCAACGAGGCAGTCAGTGAAAAAAATACATGAACTTATACCTATTACAAAAAATTTTGATATCATAGTTTGAGTCGGGCATTATACCTAATACGACCTTCAGCAGATCAACGCAGATGACAGTTATTTCTTGTAAAATATTGACATTTAGATAAAATGCCAGCCAAGATAATAAAAGGCCAGGAGAATAATAATTAGGAAATATTTTGTACGCTGTATAAACCCTTGACATTTATTTATAGTTTTCATCTACTTTATTAGATAGTAAGTACAACTCTGTTAACAAAAATAGATACAATAATAAATCACACGACGGACTTATTAAAAAGTAATATTTCATTTCTTGGTCGGGGGGTTAATTCTCAAAACCATTAGAGTGATTCGGTCAAATTCACAATAATCGACATTTAACATGTAGCTACCTATTTTAATTTTGTTATCTTACTAAATCTATTTCTATATAAAAACTTATTTTGCTGCGAAACTATCATTGTCAAAGACATTGAAAAAAGGTGGACACAGTCTCTTGAAACAACAACTGTGGTACCAGGTTACTATAGACCTACACACAGAACATTCCAATTCCATTCAACAAGAGGTAAAATTCCAATAACTAAAGATCCAAACAAACAAACGGGGCAAACTAAGTAAAAGCTTGTGAAAAGAAAAATTCGATCAATTTTTATAATAACACCCCTCCGTCTCCTAGATCGCGTTTATTCGATATCGGCTTGGCTCTTGGCAGAATGCTAGTAACTCCTTTGCCACTGAAGCAAGCTCACGCCTGACGTTTGCCCGCCAGCTGGCCGCGCAAACCGCGAACACGCGAAAATATCATTTCGATATTTGAAAATAATTTTTATCTGTATTAAAATTTTAATATGGTCACGCGATTGTAAAATTTTGTTTAGAATGTGATTTAAAATGTATTAAAAGGCAATGTATTTTTAATAATGTAAAAGTTTGCTGAAATTGTGTAATTTAAAACTATATTCGGGAATAAGAGTACTCAAGTAAACACCAATGATTTCATTCATATTTTTCCAAGTTATCTGTTAGGTTTGAAGTGTAGGTATTATTTCCCTGGTTATGGACCATGTGAATAAAACACTTTACACCTAATGGCAATCGTAACTATTAAATAATTCAATATTTAATTAGCAATTAAATGAAGCTTAATTTAGTAATAATAATTAAAAGCGTTTACTTATCTTTACAGTTCATTTTTCATAATAAATTACATGTAGGTATATTAATATTTATATAATACCAAGTTTCGTTTCTATTATCGAATTAAAAATAACCTAAGAACTACAAAAATTATTACTGTTGACACTGGCAGTATACTCCACAAAATTGAATTGGAGACTCAGTTGCCATCTAAGAAAAAAAAGTACTCTTGTTTTGATGATAAAAGTGACATCTTAAAAGTTAAGCTGTATAGATCACCTAAAATAGGTAGCAGACAGCCGCTGGATGCAGGTCGCTTCCAACCTGGCAATCTGGAAGTTATTGGAGAGGCCTTATGTCCAGCTGTGGACGTCTTGTAGCTAATATGAAGATGATCAGGAAAATGTATGTCTCGAAAATTTTTATATTAAAACATTTGTGAGACATACTAAATTAATTATTATGTTTTTGACTTACGTAACTGTTTGACATGAAACTCGACTAGTTTCAAGACATGCTAGAGGCTCATATTCATGAGCAGCATTCCGCGACCCGCGACGCGGTGACTATTTTCTTAAGTTTATTTTTTTTACTAGCGGTTATTATCCTCCCTATCAACTTATTATTGTGGATGTAATAATATATGATGATAGGGAGGATATTCTATGTTCCAATAACTTTTTTACATCCAATTTTATTTTTATTACATTTGATATTAGATTACTAGCTCTGATCGCGATTTCCTTCACGTGGAATAGTGACTGGAATGACGCTTATAGCTCCTCCCCCGTAGGTGATAGCGTGGTAATATTGTAGCCTAAGTATATGTTGAACCTCGACCTTGCAAAATTTAAAAAAAATCCATGCCGTACTTTTTGAGTTTAGCCCGGACATACACAGAGACAAAGAAACAAATATTTTAAAAACTATATTTTTGATAAATTAAAAAAGAATTAAATATGCAGTTTTGATTTTTCTATGTTTTTTGTTTAAATACATATGTAAGTACATGTATATTAGAAATACGCTATTGTGTGTTTAAAATAAAATGGGATACCTATGACGTGTTATATTTGAAAATTACAGTAGGCCTCTCCCTGTACTTATAATATGATTTTATACTCTTTGTACAGACGTCGGCATGGAATCGATACTCGTTGACTTATTCACACAGATATCTACCAACGGCCATAAATATCGATGCATCGAACGCAGTCTGTCATTACCTACGGCTTTAAGTACTACCTACTGAAACACAATTTCAGCAGGTTTTGTTGCTTCTAATGATGGACTTATCGTTTCTAAAGAGATAGTTTAATGTATAATTTTAAAGAGTTTTGTGTAAGTAGGTTATTAGAGTCTTGTTAGGAATGTTTAAGTAGTGAATAGAGGCCGAATTTAAAAAAAAAATGGAAAGAGATAGGTAATATCTCTAAGTACTTATAATACATTTTTTACACAGTTTTCTTTGAATAGAAAGCCTTTACAGAGTAAAAAATGAGAAAGTTAACAACAAAAACAAAATAAAGTGATCTACGTAAACAGTGCGCGGAAATCAAGAAAAAAACAACAGCTGATGAATTACTACAATAATATGACTTTAATAAGCCTATAGACTAAAAAGCAATGAACGGTGACGCATTACCGGAGTCCCCGCGGTCTCCGCAACCTGCGCTATGGGAGAGACTGGGATGCGCACGTGGCGTCTGCGCACGGCTGTGCAGGCGACGCGGACGGAGAGTTGCGCCTACGCATAATGGAAATAATGGTAACAGGTAAGATTTATTATGTATAATCTTCTAATTTATTTCATTGCGGACTTCAGTGTTCCGGTGTTTTCAAGGTTGTATCTGCAGATCCTGGCTTACAGGAGTTGCAGCGGTTTTGGGAGGTCGTGGCGGGGTCAGACCCATTTAAACTGTCAAACACCAAGCGGTCACCGGTGACCGCAACCTATTGTTCTATAATTGTGTCTACAAAACCGGTACTCGACGAGTTAATAAAAACTCATTCCTTGTTGCAATTGCAATAAGGTAGATGACTTATTTTTATTTTAATGTCCGTCTGGTAGATTATTTAAAAACATTACACACGTACTTTTTATTTTTTACGGAAACGAATAGTTTCGACGATATATTGATTCGCAATGTCGCGTGACGTCACTTCTATGTACATTTTATACTAAGAAATGACGTTTTACCACCCACTCCTAAACTTTGATTCGTTATATCTAAGATAATTTTCTTATACGACAAAATAAAAAAATACGTGTCTAATATTTTTTCATTACCTAACTGACGGACTAATTAGATTTTTAATTTTCATACCCTGTCATCATCCCTATTGAATAAGTAGTTTAACTAATCATTAAATTAACGTCTCTGATGTCGATATACTCAAACGTTACTTAATTATAAGTCGCGCTTAAGTATAGTTCTGTCGCTAGAAAACCTTTGTAAATGATGGATATGCCACGATATTTAAGTACAATTTAAAATTAAATAGGTAGGCTTTCAGTATTCGGGTCCCTTTTAATATAGGTACTGACAGAGAATTTCTCAGAAGGTAAATTGCCAGTAATTTACCTCCTGAGAAATTTCCTAAAAACCACGAAATCCCCAATTTCGAATTTAACCTAATATTACTATAGACGGAGTCGCGGAGAACCTAACGGGTAACCGGCGCTCCGGCTCGACGTGCAGGAGAAGGAACGAGGTGGTTTTTAGTCAGTAATAGTCTGACACTTCACCTCCCGCCTCACCCAGGCGGGAGCAGTCATTCGATGATTTTCCCACCTTCAAAAAAAAAATATTACTATAGAAACATACAACTTAGGTAGGCACCTACCTATACCCAAATACCAACCAATTAGAGTCATAAATGATTTCATACAATAAATATGTACCACCTGACCTAATCCATACTTATTTCATTGTTTTCCTGAAACATAAACAAATCACTGAAAAATGACAGTCATAGATTAATTTTAATCAACAAGTCTTCTCAGTGTTGAATGTTATAGAAAAAACTACTTTATTACAAACACACAGAACTGGTTTTACATAAACTTAAGTCTAGTTAGTCTTGATGGAGAAAATTCGACCTTGTATGAATGTCGAATGGACTCTTTTTTATATGAAACGTGCGCTTCGTATGTATTCGAAATTCGAACAATTTAAGTCATCATTAACACGTTCGCGGACGCGCCGGTTATGACAGTCATTAGGAACTTGCGCAGAATGAATGACGCGCCGGCTATACCCTTCGATATTTTTTTGTGCTCTAGAAGCACAACTGCTTTAGCAGACGAATTTCCATACTGCTACCATATAGTTCATCATCTAGTGCCCCCAAATTAAATTATTCGAATTGCTAGGTGTCACATAACTTGTCTTTTTACCGCTTCCAACGTACTACTACTTGGAACATTTGTGTGCGCACTCACACTGACGCAGCGGTCATAGCAGCGGCCATTGTATGAGAATTTGTTCCGTTGGCTGCGGAGTGCGCCGCGGAGTGCACACGTCAGGAACGTGATTTACGCGCGGTTTTTGACCAACATTTATGGTAAGTAGAATTGATTTTTATGATTAAATAATTAGATTACCTATATTAGTAATATTTAAATGAAACGTAGGTACTTTAGAACATAATAATGTATATAAATACAAATCCTACTAATATTATAAATGCGAAAGTTTGTGAGGCTGTATGTAGGTATGTTAGTTACTCTTTCACGCAAAAACCACAGAAAGGATTTGGCTAAAATTTGGTACAGAGATAGTTTATAACCTGGATTAACACATCGGATAGGTTTTTATCCCGAATTCATGTTCCCGTGGGATAATTTTCGAGTTGTAGTGGGTGAAGCCGCTGCGCTGGCAACAGCTAGTATTGATAAATCATTGTTAATATAAGGTTTCAACAAATAATTTATCCTAAAATATTGATGTAAACAACTTCTACTTATAAATTCTACTTTTCAGGTGTCTCGACAACGACTGAGTGGAGGTAAACCAAAAAATAACGATCCATACGAACGAGAAAATGAACGCATTATGAAATTGTTCAATTATACCTCATCAGATGAGTTATCTTAATCTTCTTAAGATTAAAATTATATTAAAGATTTTAATTGCAATGTCGTTTAGAATGATTAAAATTAAGGAAAGTTTATGTTGCGATTAAAAGGGTAATTTTTATATTGAAATAACTATTGTAATGTCGATGTAATTTTTCCTACATTAAAATAAATAAAACCTTGTGTTTTTATTATCTACTGGTGTTCTTTTTATCATAATTATTTTGAAACTTTGTAGAAGGGGTTAATAATATTGATTGCTATAGTCGCAGAATGCTGTATTTGAGTAAAATAACCGTTTACTACTGACGTAACGACTGATGCCTTTGAAGGCTATAGCCGGTGCGTCCTATTTGTATAGTCAAAGACTACATACCTGTGACGTAACGTTTGGAGCAGGCGAAGGCTATGGCCGGTGCTGTCTTATTTAAATACGTTGTCTTTTTTACCGGCGACAGTACGGCTATAGCCTTTCATACAAAAATCTTGTGTCAAGATAGGGTTACAAAATCAAGCAAAGTGTCCGCGAACGTGTTAATTACAATTTTTATCGAAAAAAATAGCCTCGATTATTTTATTTTTCATCCCTACGTGTATGTGCTTAGCTATTTTGAACTTTATCCAGTTGACATAAGAATTAGATTAAGTGCAAATATAGCTTTGTACTTTAAGAATAATTGACTGTGATAAAACATTAGTCTTATGTTACATGCAATAGAATTCAAAATTGGTTCATGTAAATTGATAATAGTACCCACTAAAATAATAATTATAGTTCGAAAAGAAATTTAAAAAGGCAGATACACACGCATTCTTTGATACAAATATTTAGCATTCACCCCTGGGTGTGCTTGCATTATTAATGTATTTATTGGTACTATTAACTATTAATACGGAAATAATAATAACGAATAGAGCATATTTATTATATTACGTAGAGAAGGGGATTTTTCAATAAAAAAAAAACAAATAGCTGTTCATTATTTCCTCGTAGGTTGCGTGGTACTAATGCGACTGCTGAGCAAGAGGGTCGATGGTCGGGTAGGGTTCTTTCAGTTTGTTCAAAATTCTTCTGTAGTAGCAAGGAGAGTTGTGGCCGATGTATGGAAAACGGCACTCCTGTTAGACAGAACTCATAACGTACTTATTTACATTGTATATATGCACCTCTGTCTGGGTTTTGAGGGTTAAAAAAAGGACTAACATTATGTTTTTGTAATAACTATCGTGAGGCATACTAAATTAACTATAACTTAAATATAACTAAATTAACTAGTATATTCACGTGAGTAACCTGCGATTTTTAGACTAACATTATGTTTTTAAATTAAACGACATTCACTGGGGTAAGTGCTAAATATCAACTATCGCTTTTCTTCTCCTCTAATAATATCTTCTGCTAGACTAAGTAGGTATTCTGAAAGATGTCAATTGGGTACTTGTCTTAATCAAAAATAAATTATTTCGACCGTTCAATACAATAACAATAACTTAGTATTAAAAAATAATCACACTTTCATTAACTCGTCGAGTACAGTCATTATAGACACAATTATAGAACAATAGGTTGCGGTCACCGGTGACCGCTTGGTGTTTGACAGTTTAATTGATTTTATGACCAACTTAATTTTAATATTTTTCCAGCATTTTTTTAAGAAATAAGTATGCTGTTTGACGCTTAAACATCCTGACGTCACAATACACAATCTCGTACCAAATTTATAGAAAGCTGTAGTTTTTGACAGTTCGAAAAAAGTATTAAATTTGACTAGTTGGCACTTGCCAACAACTGGATACTTATCCAATTCGAATTCTCAAGGTTGTTGGCAATCGCATCGCTGCAATTCGTGTCGTAATTTTCTGCGTTGCGAATTCGCATCGCATCGCAGTTTTGTGTACGAGCCCTTACAGAAGTTGCAGTTATTTTAAGAGGTTGTGGCGGTCTTGTCCTATTTAATATTATGTTTGCTACGTTAACTTATTCCTTAAATAACGTAAACAAATCCATAATTAAAACCTATTTCGTGTAAGAAAATGTCGTGACTGAAATCCTTTGAATCCGGATATTACAGGCTTTGACCCACACTTCGTACATAAGGTTCAAATTGCGTTGAACTTTTACATAATTACTTCATGTTTCTTTGAAAAAACGCTAAAGTTCTTAGTAGAATTCGACTTTAATGGGTGTGAGTCGTGGAAAAACTATGTTGGTATAAATGTTTTTATGGCCATTTGTTGCTGCAAGTAACTATTGGAATTTAAAACAGGACATTATTCTAAAGGCTATTGTTTTAAGGGGATAAGCACAGTCGTATGGTCAGTAGTAAAAATGGATTCAGTCATACTTAATCCAAATTCTATTTGACTGTGTAAGTATGACCTAACAGGGACCTAAATCGTTATCAAATACTGACCACAATTGGGTACTTTCCAACAGTAACTAGAGGTAGTGAAATGCAATACTTTTTTCGAACTGTCAAAACGACAGTTTTCTATGAATTTTGTACATGATTATGTATTGTGACGTCACGTTTTTTAGAGTCAAACAGTGTAACTAGGTACTTATTTCTTAAAAATTTGCTGGTTAAATACTAAAATTAAGTTGGTCATAAAATCAATTAATGAAAGTGTGATTATTTTTTAATATTTTATTGTATTGAACAGTCGAAATAATTTATTTTTGATTAAGGAATG